TAGGGGTTCTTCCACGGTTGGCCAGAGTCCCTCTTCCGGGGTGCCATCGCTCAGGAAAGGTTGTGCCTTTTCCAGAAGGCTGGCGTCTGACAAGAGTTCATCTAAGAGGCTCCCTGAGCCTGTGGCGCCTGAGGGCTGGGGCTGCGGGTGGAGCGGAGGAGACGTGAGTTGATCCGATGGGGCCTGCTGCTGCCACAGGTGTGTCTCGGCCTGTTCGGGCTGCAGAATTGCCGCGTGGGGCTGCGCGGCTGAGCCGGATGCTGCCCGGTCTGTGGAGGACCGCTGCGGGGGACAGGCTGAGGGGGTGCTGCCGCTCCAGGGTGCAGGCTGTCGTGCAGGCAAGCCCCTCTGTGGGCGGAGGGCATGTGTGCCACATGCATGGGTGCGAGACCCCCTCCTGGACTCGGCCCTGCTGTGGTACCGTTGGGGTCTGTTCCCAGATGTGGAGAGTTCTCAACTCCCTGCGAAGCTGGGGTGGGCTGGTCCACCAGGAGCATCAATGGCTGGCCCATCCAGCCACCAGGGGAAGCACAAGGCACAAGGAAGCTGAGGGACCGAGGAGGGGATGCCGTGGCAAGGGCCCGGAAGCTGTCCAGTGGATCAGTTGGAGGCAATTGATGAACGCCGTTGTGGATGTTGGGCGGAGGCCTTTGTTTTGATGGTACAGTCGTGGCTGGTCTGGCATCGGGGTCTTCTTCCCAGGCCTTGGCAGGCGCCCCTCTGCTCTGCTCCGGGTGCCGAGCTCTCCGGTTCTGAAACCATATCTAGGCAAGATGAGAGAAAGGGAGACAGGTACATCAGAAGCAAGATCTTCCGTGTCGCCTTGCAATCCCCATGCCTGCACCCCTGGTCTGACAGTCTCCGGGCAAATACATTGCCTTCGGCTAGGCCTTGAGTCAGGCCGATGTGAACTTTGCCGGTCCCCAGGTCCTTGCAAAATGAGGGGCAAAGTCAGGGCAACACTGGAACCCTGGCTTCCATGAGACATCCCTCGCTGTCAGTCTAGAGTGTCGGGATCCCTCCCAGGCTGTCTGGCACCTCCTCTGCCCCGTCCCCTTCAGGAAATGGATGCCTTCATTTCAGGCACCTTAGTGAATGCCTATGGGGAAACTTACCCACCCCATCCCTCTCCCCAACCCCCCAGTGACCCACCCACACATGTAAAACCATGAGAAGTGCCTAAGTATATCCAGTACCAGCGCGGGAGGAAAACGGCCCTCCTACCTTGGGACAGGCCGTCTTCCACCTACTGAGACCTTACCAGGATCCTAGTTTCAGGATGTGCTGTTGGATGAGTCAATTCTTCCCTGGTGGCAATGTCAGGAAAGGGTCACTCTGAAAGGCTTGCAGAAGGATCCTTGTTTGAGAGGGTGAGATGAATGTGCGCTTTCTCCCGGCCTCTTTTGTGTGGTGATCTAAAGGAGCACAAAGAAAGAATAGAGGACATTGAAGCCCACTTCACATTTAGTGCACACATAATCTGCCGTATGGAGGAAATGCCATATCAGATATACAGGTAGATTGATAGGTAGATAGAGAGATAGAGGGATAGTTAGATTGATCGAAAGATAGATAGATGATAGATAGATAGATAGATAGATAGATAGATAGATAGATAGATAGATGATAGATCGATAGATAGGTTTATGACAAATAGATTGAGAGTTGTATAATCTATACACATATATTTTCATATACATGTATCTTTCTC